AGTTTAAACATTTCATTCGCTTGTGACTTTGTTGCAGCATAAGTCTCAATAATATAAATGCGGGTGTAATATAAGCCCGATGATAAAGCTGTCAATTTCTCCAAAACACATTTATTTCCCGCAACATTTGAGGTAATGCAAAGATATTCAACTCCCCCTTCATTCATTGTTTCAACATGGTATCCGTTCATTCGGATATCTTTAAAACTCAACAAGTTTCTTGTTGATTTCGGGGAGAATAATGCATCATTCAATGTAAACTTTGTTCCTCCCATCATAAAAAATATGGCTTTTCCAGAACCCTCAATTATCTTTGCATTTCCAGATATTGTGTTTACTTTTGCTTTATTTAACTTCAAGTTGACAAAATATTTTTTGTCCTTGAGTATAGTATGAGTTGTGGCACAATCAGCAAGACATATATCTCCATTTTGAATTCGAGACCGATCCATGATCTAAAAGAAAAACAACATTTATTATTGATTAAAGTCGAAATACAGATAAAAACACACAAATACAACAAAACTTAGAAAGTAATAAAAACAACAACATGATCATCAGTTGTTCTCTTGGTCATTTCCAGCTCTTTCTTCAAATACCGCATCAGCAAAATCGAGGTTCAACATGTCATCGATGCCATAGTCATCATCTACACGTGTTGTATTATTTTCAGAGGATTCCCCAACTATAAAGTTAGTTTCTACATTTTTATCTTTTGATTTCTGGGAATCATTATATTTATCAACCACGTGTTTCGGAGCACGACAGTTTCGTGCCCAATGTCCCGTCTTTCCACATCGATAACATGCATTTTCATTATTATTTTCCGTCACATTATTTTGTTCAAATTTTGGCTGGAAATTTCTCCCCCTTTCAAAATTTTGGACATAGCCACGGCTTCGTCCACGATAATTCCCTCGGCCCGAGTTGTACCCTCTGTGAAGTTTGAAGCCTTGGTCAAATCGGCGATCTGGGCCATATCCACGGCCACGGCCACGTCCACGTCCACGACCCCGGCCACGTCCCGAGGTATTTCCACGCCCATATGTCTGGCTATTTTCAGTTCCGGTTCCCTGTTTAGATATTACAGTATTTATTTCAAGGACCGCAGTAGACCCCGTGGGTCTAGATTCATGATTTTTCATCAACAACTCGTTATTTTGTTCAGCCAACAGCAAACATGAAATCAATTTAGAATATTTTACAAAGCCTTTTGCTCTGTATTGTTGCTGTAATAGTACATTTAAAGCGTGGAACGTGGACAACGTTTTTTCCAGCATATCATAATCAGTTATGTTTTCTCCGCATAATTTCAATACCGAACAAATGCGGAACATGGCCGAATTGTACTCGTTAACAGTTTTGAAATCTTGGAAGCGTAAATGCATCCATTCGTAACGAGCCCGGGGGAGAATCACCGTTTTCTGGTGATCATACCTTTCTTTCAAGGCTTTCCATAGATCCGCAGGATCTTTAACAGTTAAATATTCATTTTTCAAAGCCTCATTCAAATGATGCCTCAGAAATATCATTGCTTTTGCTTTTTCCTGTATTGATGAATCATTTGGGGATATTATTGTTTTTTCCAATCCCCTTGCCGCCAAATGAATTTCGGAATCCAATGTCCATGAGATATAATTTTTCCCAGAGATATCGAGAGCTTCGAATTCGAGTTTGACCAGATTTGCCATGATAACTATAAAATAAAACATCAATGCTGAGATTCGTAAAATTACATATATAATCATTAATTCTTCAAGACGTACATAAGAGCAAATACTAAACACATTATTACAAAGGCCTAATACATAAAATTTAAATCCAACAGTACGATACATCATTTTGAAAATTAGGAAAACATATATAATAAACAAGATAATGGTAATTATAAGTAATGGATCAAACATTTTTTTTTTTCTTACAAAGAAAATATATTTTGAGTGTTTGTATTATGAAAATGAATTGTAGTGTTATATATAGATATTGGTAAATAGCCGTTGCAATATAGCCGTTAAGTAGCCGTTGGAACCAAATTTAATGATATAATATTTGCTAATTAATCATTTATGATCATAAAATTCTAATTAATCATGTATATTACCTTAAAGATTTTTCCGAATTATTTGATGAACATTTTTGCGAATATAACAAAGTAAGTAAAAAAATGTTCCACATTATTTGATAAATTTTACGGTGGGTACAAGAATAAACAGTTATAAATTTCACGCCACATTACTGGGTAAACCATTTTTGTGGGTGTTAAGTATAAATAATAACATTTATTATAACTTGAATAATAATTCATAAGCAAATTTAATAATATCATATCACCACATATTATTGGCTATGGCATAGCCTAATTTGCCAATAATAATGGTAATGTGTATATAATATCATATTTAGTATACATATCTTGACTGTGGCAGAGCCTAACTTGTCAAGAATAATAGTAATATATATATATTTTTTGACTGTGGCAGAGCCTAACTTGTCAAAAATAATAGCAATATGTATATATATCCTTGACTGTGGCATAGCCTAACTTGT